CTTGAAAATTTTTTGTGGGAGTTATAAGGGGGAGGAGGTTTCTAAGGTAACCTACCGATACAGAAGTTTATTTCCAAAATAAGGGAAATTGAATTTCTAGACCAGGCTGTAACTTCTAGTAACACAAAGTTGAAAAACAGTGCCCTTAGGCTTAGCTGTAGTACATTGCATTTGTCACCTGTATTGTTTTCTTGGAATGCTATGTATGGGAATATATTGAATGAGGAATTTTTTTCCCTGAATTAGGTGAGTAAAAATATTTTTACAAGACCTTTTAAAACACAGTAAAAATAGCCTGTTGTTTAGATCAGTGATATCAGCTCAGGGTGTTTCTACATTTATGTAAATCTGAGCTTATTTTCTTCTGAATACAAAAAAGTAATCATAACCTGCTTTCAGCTCTTCATGATTTTTGGATGATATGTGATTATTTATAGCAAAATGTGTCTGCTAGTTTGGAGGTGGTTCAGGAATGCAGGGCTGAGATTTTGGATTGTCTCAGGAAGAGTGGAAAATTTCCAAATAGTTTTACATTAATAAATATTTGAGATGTTGTGTGTCACACCTTCATTTTGATGACATCCAAATATCACATCAAGGTTTTGTATGGTCTAGCGATCACTATAACTTCTTAGATAAATGGTGTAAGTTAATGTGTGCAGTGTAAAAAGTACCTGCAATTCATGACCCCTGTAACTCATGAGATCTAAAACAATATAATTTACTTCTCTAATGCTCCAATTAAAATACTACATTAAAAATATATTGATTGTTTTATTTTATATGTATATTAATGTTAATAGTATATTAATAGGTGCAACTATTTGTATGCCTCCATCCCTAAGGAAGAGTTTGGTTGAAGCAACTGTTCTGTTTGGTCATGATGTAGGAGGTTTTCTGCTTTCAGGCACAGTACATTATTTCCTGATTCTTTTCAGTATGCTACATATTTTTAGTAGATTTCAGTGACTTTTTTTTGATCTGATGGAAGTCAACTGCATGTGCTTGCAAACACAGAGCATCAGATTACCAGAGTGATTTACCGTGTCCCTGTTCTGTTCTGTCCCAGTCAAGGTTTCTTAAAGGACCTGGCTTGTGACTTCTAAGAACTGAAAAGCCATTTTCCAGGAGTCACACCTTTAAGAAAGTTTGACCAACTCAGAATGTAAGCTACTACAGTCACAGTTTACTCTTAAAAATCTTACTTGTGTTTACCTGACCTAAGGTAACATTTGAAAATGTTTTAGCCCATCTTCCCTTACCAGCTGGAGCAAAGCTGAATTCTCTGTTCTTTGAATTATCCTGGCTCTTCCCCGTTACAGGAAATGCCACCCCAAGGATACTGCTGCCCCAAAGCAGGAACTGCAGGGCAGGGAGAGCCCAAAGCCCCCACCAGAGCCTGCTTGCCATTGAGGTGGCCACAATGTGGCCGTGGTGGGAGGACAGAGGAGGAGGTGACAAGCAATAGGATTCATTGGACCGAGTAGTAAGACTTGAGAGGAGGGGAGTGATTGTTGGAAAGCTGGTCAGGCAAAAGGGTCTTCATTGCAGGGGTTGAAGTTGATGTAATAACTGGTGTCTGGATGCTGTCCTGTGATGCAGATATCCAGATATGTTTGCCATGTGGAGAATCCTCCTCTGTGCTTGCACTGGGGGGCCTTATGCACATGAGCAGAAAAAATACTAAGGAACTTACAGCAGACGAGAGAAGGGTTAAAAACAAGTGTGGAAAGTTGGATCATGGTACTTGGCACCTTGAAATGAAACAGGATTTTTCTGGAAGGCTTTAGTCACCTGGGAAGGAAGGATCGAGTAGCTAGCTGTGTGGGAGGCAATTTGCAATCAAGTGTACTCCTCTGCAGTAGATTGGTACATTTTAATGAGGGAAGTATATTTGCTCTGTTTTATATGATTTGCTTAGGACTAGAAGTCTGGAAGTCATTTTAAATAGACTGCTTTGAGACATAATGGTCAGGTGGAAATATTTGAAGCATATGATATGGAAACCCTGTATTTACAATGTATTTGTAGGGTCTCAAGAAGCCGAGCCGAAATGATTGCCTCTTTTTCAAAAGAGATTTTTAAGAGTAAATAAAGTTCATACAGAGGATGTAAAAGCAGAAGTGAGAAACTACTGTAGCTATGCAACTTTATTTATTTGTTTGCTTATTTACTTTGTTATTTAGATTTTCAGCTGATCTCTCAATCCATCCACCCTGCAGAAAAGGATACCTTTATGCTAACCTCCTCATCATCCCCTTCCCTTCCTGTAGATTCTGCAGGGCTGAATGGGACTGGTTTTTACATGTTTGTTCCTCTTAGAGATGGCTTTCAGGTGGGTTGGAATTCCCACCCCAGGATGGGGAGGAGAGGCAGGCAGCCACGCTGTGCTCAAACCCCCCAGCTGCAGTGGCGAGTGCCACTGAGTGGGAGGAAGGGCTGAGTCGGACACTGCTCCCACCTGAGGGGATGGAGAGCTGGCTCCTTCTGTCTCAGGACCTGACACCTACCCACAGTTCACTCTGCCCACTGAGAAGCCAGTGCTTTTCTTTGGCCAAAGATGCCAGCAAGTGAGAGGCATCCAGCTGATGCCCCAAGTATCAATCAAGTATAAGCTTCATATTTGAGGAATGTTTCACGGTTTCTCATATTTATCATTTTGACTTTTCCAATTCTTGCTTCTTCCTGTAGTTGTGCTCTCTGTTATGTATGTCTACTTTCTCCTTCTACTTCAGTTTAATATCTTGTACTTTCTTGAGTTTGTTTTTGCTTTTTTCCTACTGTAGGAACAGAGAGTTTATAATAGCTGTAGCATCACTTCAAAAGGTGGATCTGCAGTGTTTAAAACAATCATTACATAAGTAATTAAAATAATGAAGACTAAACAAACATGTCCTCACCAACTGAAGAAATAAATTTCAAGGGCAATATAAGCATCTGCCAATATATAGTGTTGTTTCCTCTCTTCATACAAGAATTTCTGCAAAGGTTTCTCATGCCTGCTTTAATATCTTCTTTTCTCTGACATTTTCAAAACTTAAAGAATGGAATTTTCTCTCTCTCTACATTGTGTATGGTATAGTTGGGGAAAAAAAGGTAAAAGGTTTTAAATCCCGAAAAGGTGTGGGGAGAGACTGGCAAGCAATTTCAGAAAGGTTTCAGAATTCAGATGTTTATGCAAAATTTTGACAGGATCATGAAGTGAGTAGTGATATTACACCCATTTTACACAGAGCCAAATTGAACTGTGGAAAAGCAATTTGTTAGGTTTCACAAATTTGTGACTAACCAAAGGATTCTGGTGATTTATTAGCAGTGTTGAGGTGTTAAGAAAACAACTTCTGTTTTTGAGTTGACGTATTGCTTTAAAAATTTTGTTCAAGAGAGGAAAGAGCCATATACTAAAGGAAATACTAATTCATCTAAACATCCTTCATTTGAATTTGTAACTTTTTCTTTTTTTTTCTCTGATTCTACTTTTGTACTTCTCACACGTGGATTTCCCAGTCTCCTCTGAGCTGGACTTCTTTGGAATACTCCCTCATGGGGAGTTCCACTTATCTCAGTTCTTCAGGTCAGGAAGAAAACTCCAGAGCTTGTTAGGATATTGTTTCTTGTGTTTATTAGGATGTTATCACAAAACTTGGCAGACTTTTCCATACTTTTTGCTCAAGTTCAATTCATCCTGCCCTTTTGGCTCACTTTGGCTTTGAAGGCACAAAATGCCCCCAAACTGTGCAGCCTTTTTATCTTTATATGTTTTCTTATCTAATTAACAATAGACACATATATTATTTTTCTTAATAACCCAATGACCCATCACTTGTGTGTTGCACTGTGGCATTTTCTATCTAATCACCTACTACTACCAAAAAACTTCTAGAAGAAGAAAATGAAGAAAGAAGAAGGAAAAGAGACAACACCTTAAGTCCTCCATCTTGTCTTCTATTTTCTATACTAGTTTAAGCTCTAAACTTTAACTTTTTCACTCAGTGACTAAAACTCTCTAATCTACACACACTTTTAGCTTTTCTATCTAACTTTAACAGTTTTTTTCATGTAACACCATGAAAACATGCCCTTAAATTTCATGTTATATGAAATTCAGCGTTCTCTTGGATCTCAGAGTTAGGTATCAGAGACAAGGACACACACTTTGTGTCTCAGACTCCAACAGAATTTAGAAAGATATAGCTGGAAAAACTCTGTTACAGTGTCACTTACCAGGAAGGATATAATGTAAAATGGATTCCCACCTTTAAAATGGGCTGGATCCTTGAGTCTCTAGAGCTGGGGCTAGAAAAAAAAAGGAGCCAGCAGGCAGGGTTGGACCTACGTGCCTGCATGTGTGTGGCTGTGGCTTCACCAGCACCAAGGACAGCTTTGGTTCCTCTTTCAGAAAATTCTGAATTAAGCTTACTAGCAGATATTTCTGTATTGGGTAGCCTGGGATAGCTGCTGGGAAAAGCACATTGTGCCAGGCAGCTGTTTGGAGGATGTAGTGTTGAACAAAGACTCTGAAAGTCTTGCAATCAAGTTATTATATTGCATGAGAAAATACCAAGCAGCGGAAAGTTGTGTTTTTCAGGAGAAATTGCCCAATCTTTTTAAAGTTACAGTCTGGTTCTTTCTCTGGAAAGCTAATGTTTATAAGCTGAGTGACTTTTTGCGTCAGTTTTATGCCTTTTCCATGACAGAAGCATAAATGAAGTGAACATGCTTCTAGGTAACATTTGTACTTACAATAAATCTTATTGGACTGGCTTGAATTTTGAAGATAGTCTTCATTGTACATCATGTGCTGGAAACTCTCAGAAGCCATATGTTTCATATATTTTATGGCAATATTGCTAATAAATGCTTATAGCCTTTCTTCTGTAAGTGCATAATCTATAATTTTGCAAAGCATAAAGCATGAAGGCTGAGGGAAGGAAAAGCGCAGATTGGAGATTGGAAAAATTGAGAAATGATCTCTGATTTATTGCATTTCCAATTTTCAGGAGTTCTTTGAACATGCAAAAAAGCTCTGGGATGATGAAGGTGTAAAGGCGTGCTTCGAGAGGTCAAACGAATATCAACTGATTGACTGTGCACAGTAGTAAGTATTTCATTTTATGAAATTTATAGCCACTAATATGATCGTCTATAACAAATTAGAAAATATATCCGTGAGCTTCACAAGTTTTGCAAGGTAGGAATTAACATTTTCATTCTCTGTATAGGTGTGGAGCATGTATAGAAAAATTAATTTATTATTGTAGTTCGCCATGATTATACAACTAAATATCATGCCTCACATAGTTCACATCTAATAAAGAAAAGTATGAAAAATCAAGTAACTTTAAGTATCTTTATTCTACTCAAAATTGATTTACATAAAATCATTTTAATTGAAACTGTTAAGCTGGAAAAATGTTGAGTCAATCTAAGGAGAATCTTTTGTTTAAAATTCTGAGACCCAGACTGTGCTGAAATTGCTCTGTCTTTTCACATTCCATAAAAATTTCTGAGACATTTACATAACCAGATGCCTACATTACTAATATATTTTCTAAGTGAAAAAAATTATAAGCAGTATTCAGTTTAAGACAGTAGTACATTTGGTATTCTATCCTTCAAAGTGAAGTGGTACACACTGTACGTAACACAGTCAAAATCTGTAAACAGGTTCAGTCTGGTCAGAAATGTTCTGAGAAGTGTAGTAGATTGTAAAGGTGCAAATCATAAATACATAACACAGTGATGAAAACCTATTAATCAAAAAGTAGTCTGTTAACACTGCAAGTGCTACAAACTCAGCTGTCCTTGATAGTAATACAGGTTTGAATTAGATTTCCATTGAAAATACGCATTTCATGTGACCCACTATTGCGAAAATATATACTCATACAGTTGCTATGTGATTTAGGGTTTTCAGAGAACATGCTCCAGTGTGTTATGATTTGTCTAATTGGCAGTATGGTCAGCAGCAATGCCACAAGTCTGTTCTTGCACTCAGTGTTTTGCTTTCCTCTCCTTTCTGCTCTTGGTGCTGAGCCTGAAGCAGAGGAATAGGTCCATGTCACTAAAGAGCTTGTTGAGCTTCTGCCACAGGGGGAAATTTCAGTGTTGTGGATAATAGTTTTATTTTCCCTCTTTCCAGACCAGTTTTTGGGAAAAAATGATTCATCAGCACATGGAAGTGAGGGAAAATTAGGTATGTGTAGGAAGGAATTCATTTGACCTCAGTGCACTTACCAAACCCTGGGCATTTGCTCACAGTCTGGAGTAGCTGGAAATTAAAGCAGTGGTTGTACACAGAGAGACAGCTGTCCTAGATTGTAATCAGTGGGTTTCCTCTCTGCCCTCACTCACCACCACCATCATAGTACAGATCTGAGTTGTGCTTGCTGAAAAGTGCAGACTGACTCTTCATCATATCTATTCACAAACTCAAATAAAACACCAGACCAAGAAAATAAAATAACAATACATATTTAAAATACGTGAATGTGAACCCTACTTCAGTGATCAGTAAGGGTCGATGTGTCTCACGATCCTACTTTGAAAAATGGTGCTGAAAGAGCCAGACAAAACCAGGAGTACACCAAATTATAGTGCTAATGGTCGTATGCTTCCCTTTAAAAAAATTATGCCTCTCTACAGGCTCTGACAGGAAGAATGTTAGGTCTCATGTTGTGTCCAAAACCAAAACACAAATGAGGGGAAAAAAAATCGATCCAAAATTAAGTACACTGTCTTGGAACATAAAACTAAATCCTTCTGCCTTTTTTCTCTAAAAGCTTAAAGGAAGTTAAATAGGATTTTTTCTGTTTCTTCCCTCCATATCTTCTAACTGTCTTGCTTTTCCTTTATTCTAAGATTATTTGTTACAGTAGTGAGTACATTTGCAAAATTCTTCACCTTTAAGACCCTTTATGAAGTATCATTTGATACTTAAATATTCCGTGAGTGTGTCTGTGCTTTTCCTGTCATGATCTACCTGAAAATATAACAGCTGAGTGACGTACAAATCCTTGTTTACACACCTTCAGTCTTAGAGCAGAAACTTGAAACTCAGGTACAGCTGTGTCACTCAACTGATAAAACAGCCTTTTTTTTCCCAGGTATTGATGATTTAAAACACTGAAGTATAATCTTGACAGAAAGATACTGAAAATGCACCCAACTTTTGTCTGCTCCTCTATCCAGAGGAACATTTCTGTGCTAGCGTTGGATGGAAATTTGTCAGGGTGGTGGGGTCACATCCTCCTCAAAACTTACAGCCTGTGAGCAGAGATTGGAAATCCAGTTCTGAGACCCACACATCAGTTCTTTCATACACTTAAAAAATACTGAGGGTGAGGGTGCTGTTTTCTGGCCCAGCAGGAGCTGGTGGCATTTCTCTCAGAAGCTGTCCATGGTCATCTTTAACTGGTGAAGGGGAAAAGGGAAGGAGTGTGATGCTGGTACACGTGCTTACTGTGGGATTTTGAAACATCTGCAGTGTTTCCATTACACTGGCTTTAGGAGAAAGCATGCCATCAGCTAAATCCTAATCTTTTGCTTGGTAGTGGAGGAAGAACATTTTCAGTAGGTCACCACTTCTCGGCTTGAAAAGACACAAAGCCAAACCTAAAAAGTCCCAGCATGTGTTACAAATATCACTGGACTACAAGTTGGGTGGCTGGCTTGAAAATACTAAAAAGCATTATTAGCAAATTATAATGTCAGCAGCCAAACTTGCTGACTGTTAAATGAGTTACAAATACAGTGTATTTTGGAATAGTTTAATTTGGCTAGAGTACAGGGCTTCTGTATTTTTAAAACTTAACCTAATTTTGTTTATTGCTGTGGGAGAAATATTTTGCTGGAATCAGAGGTAGTAGAAGGACACAGAGTCAAATGCTTTATTTACATTATGCCTGAAAGTTAGTTTTCCTTGATCCTCAATGCCTTTTCAGATTATCAGGTTCCTTCACGGGAATGAGAATGGGGACCTGCTTTTCCCTCATTCTTATTAATTTAATAGTTTTTATATTCTTACATGAGTCTTTGTGTATCTGCACTTCTTTCATTGTTAAGGAATACTTTTAGTGCACCCATCATGTTGATGCGTCATGTGATAATTGTAACAAATACGGATCTGTGACTAAGCCAGAGGTCAGTAAAGATCAGGATTGTTCTTTATCACCAGCTACAAAGGCATTTCTGTAACTCTTGGAGGGGGTATTACTGCATGGCCATCAACCATCTTCTTTCCTTAATGACCTTCATCTGTTTCTTTGAGATTAATATCATTAAACTGACAGGTTATTGTTTTCCCTGCCTTCTGTTTTAATATTTCTTACAAGTTCAATTTCAAGTTTAATCTCAAAAACTGATACTTACTTTTAAAAGTTGATTTTATTTAGTTGTGTCCCCATTTGACTTAGACATATTTCAGCAGATTTGTTCTGTTTATGATGATAAATCTCCCATCTAACTTTAACTTATTTGAACTCTATTCAAACTGTGCTTTTTGTCTATATTCACATAATTTAAATTCAGCAAATTCTAGTTCTATGAGGGACTTTCAGATTGTGATTTAGAGCAGTTTTGGCATTGATCTGTCTAGTATATAAACAATAGGCAGAAATGAAAATTCTCCTGTGATGCTAGGACAGTTTTCTAAAAGTTAGTTTCCTATGTGATGATTTTTTAATTCAGCTCCATTTTTAATATTTTAGTTTCTTCATACTTGTTACCAAATACCCAGATTTTATTGTATCCATGGAAAGGAACCATAAAGATAAGTTCTGTAAATGTAGAACAGATCAAAACAAAAAAAGTTCAGGTATAATGGCTTTAAATTAAAAAATGACCCAGAAAAAAATGCTGGCGAGTTGATTATGTCTTTAAAAAGGTCATCAATTTAAGCCAATTAATTTATGTGGCAAAGAAGAGGTATAAAATTTCAGTTCAGAACATCAGTCATCCTTGGGGCATATCGGGCACCCCCAGTCTGCTGACATCCATCTGTTGTTTCCATAAAGGAAGCATTTGAGCTTAGTTTTGGCTACTCAGCTTTCGGGTGACTTGACAAAGTTAGTTTCAGTGATGAGATAAAAGGCGTGGGGATGCTTGCAGTGCTCAGACATTGCCAGGGAAAGGTGGTAGTATTAGAGCACAAGGCACTTTGGGAAGGGGAGAAAAAAGACAAAAGCTGAACATTCAATTCTCTTTTTAGGTCACACACAGCTCAAGTTCAAGCTGTTGTTGTAAGGAATAAATAAACAACTCCTTCCAGGTTTATTAGAAAGTTCCAGAGTAGAATTTTGTTTCACTGTGTTCACAAGGAAATAACAGCATGTGTGTTCATGAGTAGCCCTGGCTGGAAATGGTTTTACTCAACTCACTTGAGTTCCTTGGGATAGGAAGTAGAGCAAGGATTTAAGAGAACACTGCCCTCAACCAATACTTTGTCCCAGTTTGTCTGTCAGTCTTTCCCTGACATAATACACCACTGCTGATATACTTAAGTGTGAAGGCCTGAATTGGTCTCTATGTGAACATTTGGGCTAATAAAACTTGATTATGCAAGTTCTCAGGAAAGCAAACACAAGGGATATGAGCTTGGCCAAAGAAAGTTGATTTTATATTTGAGCTGATATAGATGGAAAAGACGCAGATGTTCTTTTTCTTTGCAGTTATTCTGTCCTAGAAAAGGGTTTCAGCCAATTTCTGAGATGTCTGTTCTAGTATTAGGTGGAGTAATTGAAAAAAAAAAAACAAAAAACAACTCTGTGTTGTCCACAGATTCAACTCTTGATGTGAGAAAAAAGATAATTGTTTTCTCAACAGCAGCACTTCTTAAAACCAAGCATATTTTTTATTTGCCTTGAGCCCTTCTAGACATAAGGTTTAATTGCTGGCATGCACAGTCATCACTAAATTTCCTCTTATAGGCCGAGGTCAGAAAAGCTATTTTGGCATTCTCCGCTTCTTGTGTCTAGTGTGGCATTGCAGTATTGCAGTCAGGTGTATTGGTATATTCTTTCTTCATAAGGGGCAGTGAAATAAATGTGGATAGATTTATGATAAATTAAGCTAAACACTATATTTAGCGTTGCTGTTGTT